CGTCGTCTACCTTGGCGCGGGGCGCACGGCTTGCCGTGGGTTTGCCGTGGTATCGGCTTTGTCCACGTGGGCGCGTCGATGACAACGGCGCGGCGACATATGAGGCATGGGCGTAGCGGTTGCGAGGGTCGGTGCAGGATCGTCAGCCTTTGCACTTTGCTTCCGTCCCGCTGCCTCGTGTCAAGATTGGCGGCCCTGGCCGCGCAGCCCGCGCGGGCCTACCGCGACTGGCGCCGACCCCAGCCGTTCCCACCCTGTCGATAAGGATTGGCGGGCCCGGTGCAGCAGCCTTGCATGCTGTTGAGCGCTTGCTGACATTGCATCCGACCCCGCCTCCATTTCCCCACCCTCCTGCCCACCCTCCTGCCCCTCTTCCCTCCCCGTCCTCCCTCAGCTGCTGCTGCTGCTGCCGCTGCTCCCCGCTCCCGTGGCCATCTGGGCTCAAGTTGCCCGGCGGCGCATTCCCCTGGGGCATCGCGGCGCTTCGCCTGTGCGCAGTAGTTGCAGAGCCACAGGCACAGACACCCTGACGTCGCTCACGGTGGCGAGGAGACCAGCTCTGTCGCGCGGCGAAGGCGCGCGAGGCAGCTGGTGCAGCAAAAGAAAGGGCGCAACGCCAGTTGACGTCCGGTGCTGCCCTGCGAAACCTGCCCTCGGGCAGGCCCCGGGATGTCTTTGAGTCGTCGGCAGACCACCGGAAGAGGCTTCCTCCAGTGTACGGGTTTGGGCCTGCGAGGGTTGATGGACCAGTGGCGCCACGCTGGCACAAAAGAATGATGAGGGGAAGGAGGAGGAGGAACAAGATGAGGAGGAATCTTAGGCTGCTGCTGCTGCTGCTGCTGCTGCTGATGATGATGATGATGATGATGATGATGATGATGATGATGATGATGATGGCGATGATGGCGATGACGGCGACAACGGTGACGATGATGACGACGATGGCGACGACGACGACACGAGATGATAATGATGCTGATGATGATGATGATGCTGATGCTGATGCTGATGCAGATGATGATGACGATTAGGTTGATGATTATTTGGGAATTGTTGATAAGGTTGATGATGGTGACGATGATGATGCTGCTGCTGATGATGACAATGATTATTTAATCGCTTCGCTCATTCCGCCGGCCCATAATGTCGCACCGTGGTCGCCTGTCCGAGTGGTCGTTTGCAGTGTGGAGCTGCGGCGTCGGGAGCTGTGCAGTGTTGGGGGCGTTCTTGGGGCCCTCTTGGGCCGTCCTGGAGGCCTCTAGGGCCGTCTTGGAGCCGTCTTGGGCCGTCTTGGGGCCCTCTTGGGGGCCTCTTGGGCCCTCTTGGGGCGATCTTGGAGGTCTCTTGAGCCGTTTAGGGGCGTCGGGGAACCGAAAAGGTTAAAACGCCCAAATCTGTCCAACAACAATGGAAAAGCACAGGTTTTTGCCTCTTGGGGCCCTCTTGGGAGTTCTCTTGGAGGCCTCTTGGGGCATCTTGGAGGCTTCTTGGGCCATCTTGGAGACGTCTTGGGCCGTCCGGAGGCCATCTTGGGCGTCGTGGAGCGATCTTCGGGCGTCTCGGACCTCTCTTGGACCGTGTTGGGGGCGTTCTTGGGGCCCTCTTGGGCCGTCTTGGAGGCCTCTGGGGCCGTCTTGGAGCCGTCTTGGGCCGTCTTGGGGCCCTTTTGAGGGCCTCTTGGGCCCTCTTGGGGCGATCTTGGAGGCCTCTTGAGCCGTTTAGGGGCGTCGGGGAACCGAAAAGGTTGAAACGCCCACATCTGTCCAAAACCTCAGAAAAAAAAGCATTGATTTTTGCCTCTTGGGGCCCTCTTGGGAGTGCTCCTGGAGGTCTCTTGGGGCATCTTGGAGGCTTGTTGGGTCATCTTGGAGACGTCTTGGGCCGTCTGGAGGCCATCTTGGGCGCCGTGGAGCGATCTTCGGGCGTCTCGGACCTCTCTTGGATTGTGTTGGGGGCCTCTTGGGGCCCTCTTGGGGTGATCCTGGAGGATCTGGGGGAGTGTCCCGGGCTCCGCCCGGGCTCCGCCCGGGGTATTTTTGATCCAGGGACCCCCAGGGGCCGCCCCGCGCGCGCGAACTAGAAATACTGTTTACCAGTTACCAGAGATCTTAGCACGCCTCTGGCCCGTTGGGCTGGCGAATAATGATGCTGATGATGCTGATGATGCTGATGATGAGGATGATGGTGGTGCTGGTGGCGGTGATGATGATGGTGGTGATGATGATGCTGGTGCTGATGATGATGGTACTGACGATTAGGTTGATGATTCCTTTGGAAGTTGATAATGCTGTTGATGATGATGACAATGATGGTGATGATGCGGCTGCTGATAATGACCATGATTATGACGATGACGACGATGACGATGCTGATTATGCTGATGCTGCGAATGATGGGGATGATGGTGGTGGTGGTGGCGGTGATGATGATTATCATGGTGATGGTCATGTTTATTATGATGATGCAGATGATGATCATTATCATGAGGATGCTGATGTTGATGATGATGACGATGATGATGATGATGATCATGATGATGATGATGATGATGATGATGTTGCTGCTGATGATGATGCTGATGATGCTGATGCTGATGCTGCTGCTGATGATGATGATGATCACGGTGATGATGGTGATGAAAATGGTGATGCTGATGCTGATGATGATGCTGCTGGTGATGATGCTGATGATGATGATGACCATGATTATCATGATGATGACGATACGATTATGAGAGTGCTGATAATGATGCTGATGATTGGGATGATGGTGGTGGTGGTGGCCGTGATGATGATTATGATGGTGAGGATAATGCATACCCTGACTATGCAGATGATGATGATGATGATGATGATGATGATGATGATGACGACGATGATGATGATGATGATGATGATGATGATGATGATGCTGATCATGACGATGATAAGGATGTTGATGATGATGATGATGATGATGATGATGATGATGACGGTGATGATGATCACCATGAGGATGCTGCTGACGATGTTGAGGTTGATGATGCCGATGATGATAATGACGATGCTGATGAGGACACTGATCATGATGATTGTGATGATGCTGCTGCTGATGGTGCTGATGCTGATGATGCTGATGAGGATGACGATATTGATGCTGACGATGATGCTGCTGATGTTGTTGTTGATGGTGATGATACTGATGATGATAATGCTGATGATGATGGTGATGATGATGGTGAGGATGGTCATGGTGATGATGATGCTGCTGATCATGATGCTGACGATGGTGATGGTGCCGATGATGATTATGATTATGATGATGATGATGATGATGATGATGATGATGATGATGATGAGGAGGAGGATGAGGATGAGGATGATGACGAGGATATGCTGACGATGATGATGATGATGATGATGATGAGGAGGAGGAGGAGGAGGATGATGCTGCTGCTGCTGATGATGATGATGATGATGATGAGGAGGAGGAGGAGGAGGAGGAGGAGGAGGAGGAGGAGGGGAGGAGGAGGAGGATGAGGAGGAAGGAGGAGGAGGAAAACTAGGAGGACAGGGAGGAGGAGAAGAGGGTGGAGGAGGAAGGTCGCTCGGACCTGGTCGCGGACGAGGAGGTACAGCATGAGAGGAGACCCAGGAGCAGCAAGACGAGGATGAGGAGGATGAGGAGGAGGAGGAGGAGGACGAGGAGGACGAGGAGGAGGAGGAAAAGGACCAGTTTCAACCCAAAAGGCATCGACGATGTTGGAATAAACCCTCCGCCCTCTGCAACGGTTCATTTTTACTGAGGGAACTGCCTCGTTGAAAGACAATTGTTTGAAGGCCCTGAAGCATGCCAAAACATTTTTCTCGCGATTCCAACGCCACGGATCAACCTGACTGTTGCGTCTTGACGACCCTAGATCGTGCCCGAACGCCATTCTTGGGATTGAACACCGCGAATCAGCATAACTTGTGCATCCTCATAAGCCCGAATCCTTCCCAAACATCATTTCTGGTACGCTGATCATGGGAATCCGTGGAACTCGTGTTTTTTGTGAACGAATGTGTGCGGCGCCAAAGCGGGAGCCACATTTTGAAAAGGAATTGCCCTCAATCCGTGAAGCTCTTGCAAATTGTTGAATGAATTTGCGCGGCGCCAGGGCGAGAGCCACATTTTGAAAACGAGTCGCCCTCAATCCGTGAAGCTCGTGCAGTTTTGTAAGATGGATGTGCGCGGCGCCAAGGCGAGAGCCACATTTGGAAAACGACTCGCCCTCGCTCCGTGAAGCTTTTGCAATGTTTAAGACGAGTGTGCGCGGCGCTAAGGCGAGAGCCACATTTTGAAAACCACCCGCCCTCAATCCGTGAAGCTCTTGCAAATGTTTAAGACGAGTGTGCGCGGCGCTAAGGCGAGAACCACATTTTTGAAAAACCACCCGCCCTCCATCTGTGAAGCTATTGTCATTTTTGAAGCTTCAGGGTCATAGATGGTGAGGAAATCTCAGGCGAAACGCGCGGCCAGCCCTGACATTTTGCCTTGGGGAGCGACAGGGAGAAGTTTTTTTTTTTTTTTTTTTTTTTTTTTTTTTAAGGATAAGGAATGGATGAGGAGGAGGATCAGGAGGAGGAGGAGGAGGAGGAGAAGGAGGAGGAGGGGGAGGATCAGGAGGAGGAGGACGCGGAGGAGGAGGAGGACGAGGAGGACATGGAGGAGGAGAAGAAGGTGGAGGAGGAAGGCTAGGTGGATCTGGTCGCGGATGAGGAGGTACAGCATGAGAGGAGGACCAGCAGCAGCAATACGAGGAGGAGGAAGAGGAGGAAGAGGAGGAGAAGGAGGAGGAGGAGGAGGATCAGGAGGAAGAAGAAGGAGCATGATAATCGTAACCTTCATCGTAATATTACTACTGATCATAATGATACGAAGAAAACAACTAATACGAAGAAGAGGATGAGGGCCCGTTCCGTTGGGCCTGCCGGGTCGGCTGCGCGGGCGCGCCGCGGCGTCGCCGGGGCGCCGCACAGGCCTCCCGCCACCCATGCAGCAGCCCCCGCAGCTGAACCTCCAGGCCTTGCTCGCTGGACCGCCGCAGCGCGCGCGCGCGCCCGAGGCACCCGCAGGCACTCCGCAGGCCATCGGATGGCCCTCAACAGAAAAAGGCCCTCGGATGGCCCTCGGAAGGCCCTCGGAGGGCCATCGGAGACCCTCGGACCCCTACCAGGGCCTTTCGGAGGCCTCTGGGGCCGCGGGATCCTCGAAAAACGTCGCCCGTCGTCGTCGGCGCGGAGCGCGCGCCGCGCGCCGCGGGCGTTCGGAGAGCCGCGCAGGGGGGGCCTCCAGAGGGGTGGAGAGGATCGGCTTTCACAGAGACCTTTCTGGCGTGCGACCACGCGGGGAGCGCCAAAACGTCCCCAGACAGGAGCCCCTTTTGGGGGCTTTGGGGGTCTCTCGGGGGCTTCTTGTGCTCTCGTTGCCCGTCTGGGCGCGTTTTGGGGTCTTTTCAAGGATTTCTTGGGCCGTCTTGGCGCTCTCTCGGGCTTTCTTGGGGCTCCCTTGGCCGTCGTAGGCTTGGGGAGCTCCCCGGCCACCACGAGCCATAGGGGCACCTGGGAGACCAACTTGATTGAAGTTGGACCATCCTGCTTGATCTTGGAGGCAATCTGGAGCCATCCAGGGCCATCTTGGACCCACTTAACGATCGAGACGCCCGAGCGACCCAGGCACCACTCCTGACCGTTCGTGGGCCCCACCCCCCTCCATCTCGGTGGCGGTGGCCTCCCGAGGGATGGGATTTTTCTTTGGGGGGGGCCCGGATCTCATACGCCAGTGACCCCGAACGGTTGGCGAATCTGCAGGATCGTGTGGCCCCAAATTGTTGGCGAGTTTGCGAATGTGCAGGACTGCGGGTGGGACACGACTTCCGGATGTGCAGAGCAAGGCAAGCCTACATGGTACAGGTAAACTCAAACGCGTAGAGGATAAGCAGCAAATTCGTGCCATCGATATGATGTTGTACATAAGGCACGCCCTTCATCAATACGAAGCAAGGATGCATGGCATTGAGAAATGATGTAAACCATCGCGTATACAACAACAGCTCGCCACAGCTGAAGACAATCTTAACCTCCAGGCCCTCAAACGAGGTGTGGAATGTGCAACACTGGAGCCGCTACAGACCAATGTCTGTCGCTTGAAGTAGGGATCAAGCACGTCGAGGCAGCCCTCCAATTTTTGTGTTCATGATCTCCTCACGTTCCAGCGTTTTGAAGCGGACTCGCAACATTGACGCCATTTCGATGAGGCTTGCATGGGCTGGAAGATGGAGGTTAGACGTTGATGCAGTATCTGACCGCATCCTGTCGCATTGCGTGATCGTGCCAGTAATCTTTCATCTGTTCAATCGACGCTTACAGCCTTAACACATAATTGGCAGCGAGCAGTTATAATGGTGAGCCGAGGTCGACACTGGCCTGTCACAACCAATCCAATGGCAGGTATACAACGACGCCGGGGGATTGTGGTGCACCTCTGTATCCAGAAGGGTTTTCGTAGTGCTTTCCTTGCCATCATCATTAACATTCCCTTTCTCTTTTCCTCACTCTCTTAAGCTATACCATCAGCTTGCCAGCATCTTCGCTCGTCAGCTCAGCCTGCCATTCGTTTGCCATCTTTGCTTGTTCAGCCCTGGTATGCCCTGCCACGCACTTGCCAAGGTTGAGCAGTGCCTCGCAGGGCCCAATCGGGTTTTGCAGGCCTTACCCGGGCTTAGCAAGGCTTGCCAAGTCTTAGCAAGGCTGCGCAGAGCTCACCAACATTCAACACGTTTTCAGGCTTCGTGAACTCTAGCAGGGCTTATCGAAGTTCGGCAAGGCTGAACGAAGCTTAGCTAGGCATGGCAGGGCTGAACAGAGCTTGCCAGGCCTTGGCAGGACTTAGCAAGGCTTACTAAGGCTTAACAGGGCTTACCAAAGCTTAGCAGGGCTGACCAGAGCGTGGCAATGCTTGTCCAGGCTTAGCAGAGCTGAGCAGGGCTGAGCAAAGCTTAGCAAGGCTTAGCAGGGTTCAGCAGTGCTGACCAAGGCTTCGCAAGTCTGGGCGTGGCTGAGGAAGGCTCAATAGTGCGCCCTCCTGAGAACTCTCAAGGTTTGCTATGCCTGGGGAGCCTGTCGAAGTCCTGCTAAACTTGGTGGGCCTTGCTGCACCCAGCTAAGTTCGGCGTCGGCAAGCTATGCGAAGTCCTGATCAGCTTTGCTGGGCCTTCCTCCTCCTTTGCAAGCGTTGCCGAGTCCTGCTGGCTCTTGCGAAGCTTTACGCTCGGTTGAATTTTGCGAAGCCCGCCTGGCCCTGCTACGACCTGGTACGCCTGGCTAAGCCTGGGTCAGCCCTGCTAAAGCCTTGCACTTCTTTCTAAGCCTCCTTGCGTTTGCTAAGCATTGCTAACCCCAAGCAAGCTGTGCAAAGCTGTGCTAAGCCCTGGTTCGCCTTGCTGAGCCTTGCTAAGCTCTGGTAGTCATCGCTGCCCCCTGGTCTCTGCTGAGCCCTGCCAAGCTCGGTACGCCTTGCTAAGCCCAGCTGGGCTTGGTGAGCCTGGCTAAGCCTTGCTGAGCCTCGCGCAGCCTTGACAGGCTTTGCCAGGCCCTGCTCATGCTGGCGAAGCCTTTAACCAGCTTTGCTTTGCTGGGTTTCGCAAGGCCCTGCTAAGACCTGACATGCCTTGCTAAGCCTTAGGCAGCTCTGCTAAGGCAGCTCTGCTAAGGCCTTGTATGCCTCCCCAAGCCTTAGTGAACCTGCTGGGCAAAACTAGGCTCTGGCAGGCTCCGATAAACCCTGCTAAGGCCTGGAGTGCCCTGCTTAACATTGCTAAGCTCTGGTAAGCTTTGCAAAGCCCAGGTGAGTTCTGCTAAAAGCCTTGTTCAGCTGGATCAGCTTTGCTGAGCCCGTGTAAGCTTGGTAAGCCTTGCGAAGCCCAGGTGAGCTCGGTGAGCCTTGCTAAACCCTGCAACGTCTTGCTGCAACCAGGGAGATGTTGCCGAGCCTAGCTAAACCCTGGTAGGCCCTGCTAAGCCGTGGGAAACTCTGCAAAGCATTGCAATTCCGTGGCGATTTCTGCTCAGCGCTGCTAAGCCTTGTTACGCCCATGCTCAGCTTTTGAGAGCTTTGCAAAACCATGCTAATCTTTGGTAAGCCCTGGTAAGCCCTTGGAAAGCTCTGCTACGCCCTGGTAAGTCATCGGTAAGCTTGCTCTGCATTATGACAAGGAGTCCGTGGTAGGGGATCGTTAATCGGGAGGAGGAGGGTGACGATGAGGAGGAGGAAGAGGGGGAAGAGGGGGGTCTGGGAGGGTGGTGGTGGTGGTGGTGGTGGTGGTGGACGAGCAGGAGAAGGGGGAGCAGAGTAGGAAGATTAACAATATCATTTCTTGTTTTTAAATTGTCCTCGCTCCCCCAAACGCACATCCGAAGAATGTACCCAACCCTTGAGCAACGCGTGGCCAGAATCGCCGGGTCGGCTATCTTGGCGGGGTATTGTGTGGCATGGATATATTTTTCTGCGAGCTTTGCTTGGGAGCCTTGCGAGCTGCGCGGCTCGAAGGACACCGGTCGATAGACAATGGCTTGATGGAGGTATTCAGGCGCTACGCGCGACGGGGGAAAGGGCGGCAATGGGGGGGGGGGCTTGAGGGCGGCTGCTGATGGAGAGCCGAAAAATCAGCGGGGCAGCAGAAGGGGACCTTCGAAAGTTGCGGTATTTTCGCATATCGCCGCCCCACAGGGATGGTGACGTCTAATCTGGATCAAAGTATGACTTCACTATGCTGGACTCCAGTGCGCCTCGAAAGTGGCGACAGTTTCACAGATCGCAACTCCACAGGGGTGGTGAAGTGTAACTGGAGTCTGCGTATGACGTCAATTGCTGGACCTTCGAGCAGGCTTCGTGAGTGGCGGCAGTTTTGCAGATCGCAACCCCCCATGGCATGGTGAGGTCTACTCCGGGTATGCGTATGGCGTCACTATGCTAATACCCCGAGCAGTCGTCGAAAATGGCGACAGTTTCGCAGATCGCAGCCCGCAGGGGTAGTGAGGTCAAACTTGAGTCTGCGCAGGACGTCGCTATGCTGGACCCCTTCGCAGGCTTCGAAAGTGGCGACAGTTTCGCAGATTGTAGCTCACAGGGGTGGCGAGGTCTAGCTCGAGCTTGTGTAAGACTTCACTTTGCTGGACCCCCCAGCAGGCGTCGAAAATGGCGACAGTCTCGCAGATTGCACCCCCTTGGGGTGACGAGGTTTACTATGAGTCTGCGTAAGAAGTAACGCCATTGGACCCCCCAGTTGCCCTTGAACGTTGTGACCGTGGCGCGCTTCGCAGACCCCCAAGGATGCGAGGTCGCTCCGTTGAAACCCCCAGCAACCGTTGAAAGTGACGACGGTTCCACACGCCGCAGCCCCCCCCGGGATGGCGTAGTTTAGTTTAGATCTTGGTAGGACCCCACTGTGTTGGGCCCCCCCGTAGCCCTTGAACGTTCCGACCGTGTCGCGCTTCGCAGACCCCCAGGGATGACGAGGTTTAATCCGAGTCCGCGTATGACGTCACTGTGCTGCCCCCCCAACCAGCCCCGAAAGTTGCGACGGTTTCGCAGATCCCCTCCCCTTCGCCCCCCCTCCCCCCAAGGATGGCGAAGTTTGATATGAGTTTAGGCAGGGCCCCCAGTGCGCTGCCCCCCCCCCCCCCTTGCACACACGCACACCCCCACAAGGCCCCGAACGAACGTGGCGACAGTGTCGCAGATTGCAGACCCCCAAAGATGACGAAGTCTAATCGGGGTCTGTGTAAGGCCCCACTATGCTGCGCCCCCCCCAGGGATGCTCTTGGAAGTGGCAAATCTGAGTCCGCGCATGGCGTCGCTGTGCTGGTCCCCCCTCCTCCCAGCAGCCCTCGAAAGCGGCGACAGTTTCGCAGATCGCAGCCCCCCAGCGAAGGCGAGGTCTAGTCTGAGTTTGGGTATGGCGGCGCTGTGCTGCCCCTCCCCCAACAGCTTTCGAACGTTGCGACAGTTTCGCAGATCCCCAGGGATGGTGAGGTCTAATCCGGGTATGGCGTCACAGTGCTGCCCCCCCCAGCCGCCCTCGAAAGTGGCGACCGTTTCGCAGATCGCAGCCCCCCAGGGATGGCAAGGTCTAATCTGGGCTCGGGTATGGAGCTGCCCCCCCCTCCCCACAGCTTTCGAACGTGGCGACAGTTTCGCAGATCGTAGCCCCCAAGGATGGCGAGGTCGAGTCTGGGTCCGCGTACGGCGACACTGTGCTGCCCCCCCAGCAGCCCCCGTGAGCGGCGACAGTTTCGCAGATCGCAGCCCCCCCTATGGGTGGCGAGGCCTACTATGAGTCTTGGTATGCCGAAGCTGTGCTGCCCCCCCCCCCAGCGCCCTCGAAAGTGGCGACACTTTCGCAGATCGCAGGCCCCTTACAGGTAAGGCCCTGGCAGTGGAATAGGCGCTCGGCGCGCGTGCCCGCTCTTTCCAGGGCGGCCTGGCCTCGCTGCCGCGAGACAGTTTTAGGCCCTCCCGCATCGCGCAGTGGCGGGGCGCCAGTGCGCCAGCGCGCCAGCGCAAGTGCGCGTGACGCCTCGTTCTCCTCCACCACGCCCTACCTGTCCGTGGTAAGGGAGAACAGGCGCCTCGAGGGGGGCGACGGGAGCACGGCGCCCCAAGGGGGGCGGCTCGGGGGGCGGCGGAGATGGCGACGGCCGCGACCACGGCGACGACGATCACGACGAAGGCGGCGACGGCAGCAGAGGAGGGAGTAGTGCTATTTCAGACGAAAGGCGAAAAGGGCGAGTTGAGAGTTGGGGCCGCAAAGCGGCCGCTCGCTAGCCGCTGGCCCTGGAGCCGGCGGTCGCACTCCGCACTGCCGGGGCCCGCAGCAGCCCAGGGCTGAGGGCTTCGTGCCCCGCGCGAGGAGAGCACAAAACAAAACGGCCTGCCCCATCCTCCTTCTCCTCCTGCCTCCCTCCTCCTCCTCCCCCTCCTCCTCCTCCTCCTCCTCCTCCATTCTTTTTCCTTCTGAATTATTCCTTGTCGCGCCCCGAGGCTGGTCGAAAGGGCGGGCCGGGCGTTTCGCTTGAGACGTCCTCACTATTAATGATCCTGGTGCTTGAAATTTGCAACAGCTTCACGGATGGAGGGTGATCCGCTTTCAAACTGTGGTTCTCGCTTTAGCGCCGCGCACAGTCGTTTCAAGCAGTTGCAAGGGTTTCACGGATGGAGGGCGGTCCGTTTTGAAAATGTGGCTCTCGCTTCAGCGCCGCGCACAATCGTCTTAAGCGTTGGCAAGATATTGAAGGATTCCCATGGTTAACGCCGCAGAAATGGTGTTTTGGCACAGTGTGGGAATGTCAGGGCGCAACAGACAAGTTGCCCCGCGGTGTTAAAATCCGAGGAACGGCGTTCTAGTGCGATTCAGGTTCGTCAAGACGCAACAGTAACGGTGATTCGCGGCGTTGAAGTCCCAGGGATGGTGTTCCGACGCCGTTCCAGATTTTCCAACGGTTGTCTTCCAACCGGGCACTTCTTTCAGTGAAAATGAGTCCGTGTAGGATCCTATGAAGAGGAAACTTGGAGGAATGGTTTCTCCTCCTCCCTCCCTCCCTCCCTCCCTCCCTCCCTCTCTCTTTCCCTTCCTTCCTCCCTCCCTCTCTCTTTCCCTCCCTCCCCCTGCTTCCCACTCCTTCCCCCCCCTTCCCCCTCCTCCCCTCCCCTTCGAGCCAGGACTCCAGAGCCTGGCGGGCACCGTGCCAGCGGGCGCCACTGGCGCTTCCCTGGCCCCGCTCCCCAGCCCAGGCCTTTCAGGGGCGCGGGGGCCCGCAGTGAGGAGGTCAGGGGCAGCGTGGAGGGGGGGATGGGTGCAGAGGGGGGCGACATGCTCGAGGATCGGGGTTTTCTGGCGTCTTCGTAGGTTTTCGGCGGTTTCCCAGACTGGGCTGCTCTCCAGCAGCCGCGTCTCGCCGAGAGCGTTCTGTGGGTGCCCGCATCGTTCCGAACGGCCGCCAGGGGCCAGTAATTGTGCTTGAAAACGACAGGGGATGGTGATAGGCTTAGGAGGTGATGCATGGACCCCCAATCGCCCATTCATCGCCGAGATAGCCCACCCCGCCCAGGAATGTGCAGACTCGCTATCGGGTGCATATCGCCGGTCTATCGGTTGTTCATCGCCGATTCCAGGTCGATGTTACCCCGCCTGAGCCAGTACCCCCCTTCACGTCCCCCTTCTGGGGACGGCGTCCGCGGAGAAGTTTGCGTCGGTTCGCGCAATCATCCCACCCACCCACCCGCAACTTGGTTTGCAAAAGCCATGCGGCGGCGAATGCGATGCATGTTTTTTTGTTGGTTGGCGCATTTCTAGCCCGCGCATGCTCGCGCGCGTAGCGGTCAGTTCCTTTGACGCGACCGACGCGGCCGAGGTGACGCTGACCGCTGGGCACTTCCTTGCGGGCACCTGAGTGCGAGTCGGCGGCTGGGGTGGGCGCGGTATCATGGCAACGTCGACAACGGTAGACGCGATGATGCTAGTAGCGATGCTGGTGACGATGATGAGGACAATGACGGCACGGCCAGTGACGATGCCGATGCTGATCACGCTGACGGCGATGACGGCGTCCTCGCGTCGGTGGTGAAGTTTGTGGGCAGAGGTCGACATGCGCTCGCGGCCGACTCGAGGGAGTGGCCCGCACGGGCTTTTTGACACGGAGCGTGCCCTCCCAGCGCGCGCGCGAGAGCGTTCGAATGAGTTTGGCATGCGGCGCGCGAGGCCCTTTTGTCATGGCTTGATGATCAGGTTGAAAAAGCAGATGGCTTTTTTCCAACAGGATTCGCAAGGGCGCGAGCGCATTTGCTCGATGAAAGTTGATGTTGCAAAGCATGTGTTTCTAACTGTTTCTGGGGTGATCGTTTTTGTTGTTTTGTTTTTGTTTTGTGTTGTTTTAACAAGTCCTTGCGGAACCGCGAGGTCTTGAAAGGTTACGGCATGCTCGCGACGACGCGGGCATGTGCACTTTGCTCATCTTTTTGCAAGAAGGATTCTTGCGAGAAGGATTCTTGCGACAGCACGCGGGCGAGACGTTCGAATGACTTCGACATGCGCGCGCGAGGGTCCCGCTTGGTAGCATTTTATGGACATGTTTGATGAACTTTCGGATATCTTAAGAGTTCGCAAGGGCGCGAGCGCAAGCTTTTGTTGAACACCCTTGTTGGGAAACCATTTTAATGTTTTTGTGACACTCGATCCTGAGTTCCTTGCGAGGCCTACGGTTTTTGAGTGATTCTGGCATGCGCGAGCGACCAGGCGCGCGCGTGCGCACTTCGTCCTCTGTTTTGCAACGGGTTTTTCGAAAGCTACTGATTTTTGATAAACAAGTGTGCGCGCAGAGTATTTGTTGCGGAGGACGATGGGGGGGCGTTGCTGGTTTGGTTCGGATGATACGAGTTGAGTTCATATTTCGGATGCGCGATGGGGCAGATTCGTATGTACATTGCAGTCGGAAAAAAGGGGGGCCCGTCAAATCCGGGGCGGGGGGTGGATCCTATTATTCCCTGAGAAACGAGGACCTGTGCGGCGCAATCTTTGTGTTGCAGTCTATGCTGTGCAATGGGTTTTACAAACGAGTTGACCAATTCCATGCTCTTGCAAACATCCCACCCACCTACCCGCAACTTGGTTTGCAAAACAAATGTGGCGGTGATTGCGATGAGTGCTTGGCATTGGCTGGTGCATCTCTGCGGCCGCGCTAGCCCGCGCATGCTCGCGCGCACAGCGGCCAGCTAGTTTGGCGCGACCGACGCGGCCGCGGTGGCGCCTACCGCTGGGGACTTCCCAGCGGGCACTTCATTGCGAGTCGGTGACTTGGGCGGGCGCGGTATCATGGCGACGCCGACAGCGGTAGGCACGATTATGCAAGTAACGATGATGGTGATGATGGTGGCGATGACGACGGCAACGCCAATGACGGTGCCGATGTTGAGCACGGCCGCCGATAGCGATGACGATGTTCTCGCGTTGGCGATTGGGGTCTTTGAAGGAGTTCGACATGCGCTCGCGGCCGACGCGCGCGAGTGGCCCGCGTGGTTGTCTTTGACACAGATCGTGGCCCCCCCGGCACGCGCGCAAAAGGCGTTCGAATGAACTCGACATGCGGCGCGAGAGGCCCGCTCGACAGAAGTTGATGCGCGTGTTGGAGAACCGATGATTGTATGAAGAGTCCGCAAGAGCGCGAACGCAGGATTGTCTGGAATATTGGTTTTGCAAAACCATATGTTTTATGTTGTTTTCGTAACGCTCGACTTCCATATCCTTGCGACACCGACGGCTTTCAAATGATTTCTCCATGGGCGCACGACGACGCGCGCGCGTGCACTTCCTCCCGTCTGTTGCAAACTATTCGTGCGATTGCGCGCACGCAAGGGCGTTCGAACGATTTCGACACGCGCGCGCGAGAAACCAATTTGGAAACATTTTATGAACAGGTGGAACATTTACTGTATTTATCGCAAGAGCGCGAGCGCATTTGTTTGGAACATTCTTGTTGCAAAACCGCGTGTTTTAATTTGTTTTCGTGGCACTCGATGTAGAATTCTTTGCGAGTCCGGCGTTTGTGAAGGATTTAGGCGTGCGCGCGCGACGACGCGCGCGTTTTTTTTTTGTTTTTTTTTTTGGGGGGGGGGGGTGAACTAAAGATTTGTGATAGTCGGGTGCTCGCGCATTTGTTTTTTCTTTTTCTTTGTGTGTGTGTGTGTTTGTGTGTGTGTGTGTTTTGCCGAGGATGGGGGGGCTCGAGACCGGCTGGGCTGGGATGTTCTGGATTTTTGTGTAGAATTGACAAAAGGGGTCATGATCATATGTACATTGCGTATCGCGACAGGGACCCTCAACTCCGACCTCGGGAAGGGGGTTAATCCATTATCCTTCGAGCAAGGAGAATCCGTGTTGTGCAATCCGAGGCGGCGACGAGGCGGCGACGGGGCGGCAACGGCAGCCACATAGCGGCCAAACCGAAGACACGGCCCACACGACGGGAGGCGACGAGAGGCGACGAGGCGGCGACGGGGTGGCGACGGCGGCCACATAGCCGCCAAACCTAAGACACGGACTTTTCTTTAGAGCGCAAGAAAGAACCTCTAATTGCAAGCACTGTTTTGGGAAAAGCATGGATAACAATAGTATGATGTGGAGGAGGAACAGGCGGGGAGCAGGAGGGTCTTGCTTCTGCTCCTCCTGCTGCTGCTGCTGCTGCTGCTGCGGCTACTGCCTTTCCTGCTCGCGGTCGTCGGTGTACCCGCCGCTGCCATGGCCGTCGCCGTCGCCGTCGTCGCAGCCGTTGCGTTTGCGTTTGCCTTTGTCGTCGCCGCCGCCGCCCTCGCTGTCGCTGTCGCCGCCGCCGATTCCGCCGCCGCTATCGTCGTGGTCGCCCTCGTCTTCTTCGTCGTCGTCGTCGTCGTCGTCGTCGTCGTCGTCGTTGTCGTCGTCGTCGTTGTCATCGTCGTCGTCGCCTCCGCCGCCGCCGCGGCCGCTGTCTCTGCCGCCGACTCCGCCGCCGCTATCGTCGTTGTCGTCGTCGTCGTCGTCGTCGTCGTCGTCGTCGTCGCCGTCGCTGCCGCCGCCGCCGCCGTCGCTGCCACCGCTGGGAGGGTAGGCCTGCCTCTGGCTGGGCTGGGCGCCGGCTGCGCGGGGACCTCGCCCGGACTTCTGGGCGTGCTGGGGCTGACAGGCTCGCCCCGCGGGGGGTGTGCCCCGGCGGCGTGCCGGCCAACGCCCTACGATCCCCAGACCTCGAATTTTCGCTACAAAAGGACACGGGTCGTGAGGTTTTTCGCCATTTGCAGCTCGGGGCCCTCAACGGACCCCGGGACTGTCAAAACGATCCAGGGTAAATGGAGCTGGTTCACGGGAATGAGTAGCGAATGCTTCATCGCCCTTTCCTCTCAAGCCTTTCTACCGACAGGCGGTGGATGGCCTAATTATGTTGCTAGCGTCTCTGCGGCCAAGCGCTCCAGTGGGGCGCCAGACTTGTGGGGCAGGTCCTTAGCCCCTGGGTCGGCTGACGCTCTACCCAAGGCTGTGTGTGCAAATTCGAAAGCGGCGGACTCGAAGCCAGAGTGGACGTTTTGCTCCCGCGCCAGCTCGATCGCTGCGTACCGGAGAACCAACGCCCCTTTGACGTTTCCGACGGCTGGGGATCTTTCATTGGTTATCCCTGGTCGCCGTGTTCTTGTTCGGTATCGTGGTTGGAAGCGCATCTCGTGAGCTCAATCTCATCCTAAAGGTGTCGGCTAGGCCCCCGAGGCCCCTAGCACTCTCTGGTGATCCGTACGCTCCGAAAGCGTGTCGTCGGTTGAGTTCCCTCGCGCAGCTGGCGAGTGGCGTGGCAGTGAAGGGGCGGCGAGTGCTCGCTTACTTCGGTCGGGACGATAACTACTGGCACGAGAGGTTCCTCCTGGAGCCCCTCGGCGCAGGCAGGCGGATCATCGCGACGCCACACTGTTACATGTATGACGAGGATCTTTCGGACGCGTTGGACTTGAGAATGGTGGAACCTTTTGGTGGCATCGGCCGCTCGCCTGGAGGTCGACCCTTACGGATTGACATGGATGAGTTTGAGCAGAGGCTGTCTGGGCTTGAGAGGGAGGCGAAGCAGTTTGTCCAGCATATCAGGCGGGACGAGGGTCTTGCCATTGTCGCGGATGATGACGCAGGTGATCGAGCTCCGCCATTCCCCCCTCCGGTCGAGCCCCCGCCCGGCAGTGCCGAGGCAGGTAATTAATGCAGGTGGCGTGGGAGGCGCACGACGCAGCGCTCAGGAACAGCCGTTGGGTGAGTGGACTGTCGTCGAGCAGCGGGCAGGCTGTCATATCGTTGACTCACTACCAACTGTGAGGCTTTTCTTGGTGGGAGGTGGCCGTGCCCTGCTTGTCTCGACAGACGGTGCCATGCTAACAGTTGGGAAGCCAGGTTCGATGCGTCTGCCGACGCCGCGTGCTGCTCAGGATATGTGCGGACTCTGGCAATCAAGGCGGACACGTGCGTTGATGACATGCTGCCCTTCGTCGAGGCGTTGGATGACCTGTTTCAGCAGCCGATCGCGGGATGGCCAGTGGAAGGTCCCAGGTCTGTTTCGTGGTTGCTGCATCAGCTCGCGAAGTTTGGGCAGTCGCCGCTCCAGCGTCACCACTGGTGGCGGCAGGGGCAGCAGCTCGCGGCGGAGGACGCTGGAGTGGATGCACACGCGTTCTTGAGTGAGTTGCTCGAGGTCGGGAGCCAGGTCGATCATATGTGCTTACCCAGCCTTGTCCTTGCGAAGATGTTGAGCAAGAGGTACCAGCTGTGCGAGCAGGTGTGCGGCTCTTCGCCTCGCAGGACGGAGGGAGGCGGCGGTGGCGGCGGTACGGCCTGATTGGATGAGCGTGAAGTCTTCCAGGGCCAGCAGCGTGGTAGGTGCTCCGCCTTGGTGGTCCTTCGCCTGAAGGGTTGGGTCGCCGAACGCTTGCAGAAGGAGGCGGTCGTCCAGAAGGAGCGAGGGAACGGACGCGAGGAGAAACTGTTGGCATCAGGTGTTGCGCCTGCTTCCTCGAGTGCGCCTGCGATGTGCGCGCCCCCCGCTGGCGCCCACCTGCGACGTGCGGGGCGGGGTGGACTCGCCTTTTCCTGTGGTGTTGTGCAAGCGGCAGGGGTCCCCCGACCTGTCGCTTGTCTCTCAGGGGATGCCCCCGTAGTCTACCCGGCGCTGCAGTTTTGTATCGCGGGCGAGCTGAATGCGTCTCACGACTTTCTGCCAGTCCCGCTCGGGGTGGACCTGGGTGAGTTGCTGTGCGGATCCATACCGTCTGGGACGTCTGCGGTTTCGATCAGGCGAATTGCGAGGAGGAGTCGACAGAATCGTCGGTTACGTGACGGCGTTCGGAGCTTGAGTGCGCTGGGAGGTCAAGATCACAATGTCTCCCATGACGTTTTGCTTACGGGGGCCAAGCGAGCCGCCCTTCGCCGCCTTGCTGGATTGCACGGTTCGGTGAACTTCCCGAAACAGCACCATGATGGCCATGCGTCGTGGCAGACGTTGCAATGTCTTCGGCCCAGGTATCTGCATGCGAGTCGGGGGGCGGCAGGGCAGTCTGCCAGCCGTGCAAGAGTTCTTTGACTACCAGCGGGGCTTGTCGAGTTGAGCTACCCTCTATCTTGCCAGACCCACTTCGCGACATGCTGGAGACTGACCACGGATTTCTGCGAGATCCCGACGGGGTTCGTGCGGATTTTGATTCTAGAAATGAGACCTTGCGATGCCTTGATCACAGGCTGTCTCGTCGGGGCTTCGATTTTGGTCGCGCTTTTGTGGAGTTGTTTGACGTTGGCGTGATAGAGCTAGACCCCGGTACGAGCAAATGTGAAACACGTTTGTTTTTTTTTTCCGTGAATTGGAAAGACGAGACGCCCCGTCTGATTGCTGACGCCCGTGCTTCTAACCTACATGTTGCCGAGACCGACTACACGGAGCACGCCAGTCCGGAGCCATTTTCGGCCATCGAGTGCCGCGACGAGGGGTCTGTGGGCTTATGGCAGTACGTGCTGCCCGAGTGGCTGGAGAGCTATTTTACTTTGCCCCCCGTGGGGTTTTGCTATTTGCTTGTCGCCCTTCGTCGGTGTCCTGGGCTTCCGCATGGGCATGCCCAAGTTCAGTTCAGGTTCCGGGTCGTGCCAATGTGCTGGAGCTGGGCTGTTCGCCTGATCCAGCGCGGGCATCTTCGCATTCCGAGCCAGGTGTTGGCTAGTGGGCGCTGGGTCATTGACGAGCGCCCCAGGGCCGACCTGTCTTATGGGGCGCCGCGGTGCTCCACGTCGAGACCTTTGCCGTCGCCTCTGTGAAGCAGGCGCTCGCCGAGGGGGCCGCGCACGTCATGGGGGGGCCTTGGGCGGGCCGGGGGTGGCGAGCGCCATCGGCGTCGTAGGGTGCGACCCTGGCTATTGTAGAGACCCAAAGGTGCTCTAGACTAGTTACTTGCTCGACGCCAAAGGCTTTAATTTCTTCAGCCATGGGCTGAATCATGCTTTGGCCCGTCTTGTTGCCACCTGCGTGCTCGGGCGAGAGGCTTTGGCTATGCTGGCCGCGTTCTACACCTTCGCAGGAGCGTCTAGTGACAAGCGTCAGCCCCTACAGTCGCGTCTGCGGACTGAGCTGATGTGGGTGCGATATCTGCTGCCATGCGTTGTCGGCAACATGGGTCGGAAGTGGCCCCCCACCGTCGCTGCCCATGGCGCGTCGCCTAGGGGTTGCGTCGTCGTCGAGACGGAATGGGCGGCCAGCCATGTCTCGGGGCGCGGGCGCATATCCGAGCGGGCCCGCTCTCGGTTGGCCCTTGGCGGCGGCGGGGTCCCCCCGCGACCGCGCGCGGGAGGCCGTCGTTGCGCGGGCTCCTGACGTCGCGCTGGTCTTGGCTGGCCGCCTTTCGGAGTTCGCCGAGGTCAGCTCGAGGGCGCTTGTCGAGTCCGAGTGGCGCGTGGTCGGCTGCGGGCGATGGGGGCGGCGTGGGGCCATCTATTTTCTTGGGGCTTCCTCCGCGTGTGGGCAGCTCGTAGCAGTGCCGCAGACGTGAGACAGCATGGGCTAAGACGCTTGATCTTGGGCGACAGCATGTTGTCATCCTCGCGCTTGCGAAAGGTCGCGCTTCCCATCGTCTTCTCCTACTCGCCTGTCGGGGCATGTTTGTCGTCGGTGTGGCGGCAGACGTGGGCGCCTCGTGGGTTTCCGCCGCTGTCTGGCCCCGGGCGCGCTCCCAGTCCATGCCGCAAAGATGGCAAGGCGGGCGCTGGCGACCTGGGCGCCAGTGCCGCCCGCAGCTCGGAGTCTGCCTTCAGACCACGGCGGCGAGAATCTCGGTCGGCCCCGTTCGGCACGTCGAGGCGTCGGCAGGCCTGTGGACGCAGGCCCTGGCTGCCAAGGGCACCCAAGGGTCCGCTCAGCTATGGGGGCTCCGCAGGGTCAGACCCAAGGCTCAGGAGGTCTGCCTTGGCGCGCTGCAGGCCTGGGTCGCTGGGTTGCTGCCGAGCGCCCCCCGATGCGGTCGCGCGAGGAGCGGGGCCAGGCGGCGGCGGGGTTCGCGGAGTGCATGTTCGACTGGGGCGCCGAGAGTTCGACCGCCGACCGAGTCGGGCCTGCGCTGCTGCGGGGGGGGCGCAGCTCAGCCTGGGCCCGCTGCGCCTCGCGCCGCTGGTGCTCTGCCAGTCCGTCGAGGGCTGGGATTGCCAGCGACCCGACCTCTCGTGGCCGCCGCTACCCTGGCCGGTGGCCGTGGGCGCGGCCGTCCAGCTTCTGCAGTCAGGGGGGCGCGACGAGTCGATCGACGTAATGGTCGTGCTCGAGGCCGACATGCGCCCCTCCGTGCTGGCCCTGGATGCGGGCCGCGCGCCCCCCCCCCCTTCCCCTTTCGAGCGCGGCGAGCAGGGCGCGGCCGGGTGGCTTGCCTCTGCCGCGAGGGCGCAAGAGAGCCTCGCCCCCTCCAAGACGGGCGCCTTCGACATTAGCGTGCCGCTCGACTTGGACAGTCAGTCCTGGCTCGCCCGCCGTGTCGCGGCGGTGGTGCGCCGCCTCGACGCGAGGAGCCCGCTTCGGGACCTCGAGTCCGTGGGCTTTGCAAGGGGCTTCAAGCGAGCCTTGGGCGACGTCTGCCCGCGGGTGCTGCGGGGCGCGCTCTGCTCGCTGCGCCGTGGGGGTGCCGGCCGCGGCCGCCGCGTGGGCGCCGGATCCGTGGCCGCCTCGCAGCGGCGCAGGGTGCGGCGGTACTGCCAGAGCGTGGTGCGCTACAAGAAGCACGGCCGCTTGGCGCTCGGGCTGTGGAAGCTCGACTCAGGCGCAATCTCCAGGCTGCGCCTACCTCTCGGCGCCGTCGGTCGCGAGTTCTAGACGTGCTTCGTGCGGCTTTGAACCGGGCCATAGGTCGTCAATCGCAAGTGGTGTTTTCTTTTTTGTTTCAGGATGCGGGGGGCTGATCAATCATCTCCACCTCAGAGGCGACGCCGTAACAGAGTGAGATATTCGAAATGGTGAAAGCTTTTATTTTCTCATCCCTGAGGTTTGGCATGTTTTGCAGGGTTTGGTCAGCTCGGGCGTAGTCAGAGCTTCCTGGCTGGGAACCCTTTGTGAAGGCTAGTCCAGGGCTCGAAGGCCCCTTCCTGGTAGCCAAACGCACCGTGTCCTTCGGTCTTCCTCTAGGCCTGTTGAAATCCAGGGGCTTGCGGCGCCATGCCAGGGGCTTTTCCGTAGATCCAACTGGCTTGGTGCGATTGCCGGGCGAACCCTGAGATTGCGCATTGCGCGTGGCATCCCTGTATGGGAAGACAGACCTTGACTGAACTATCTTCGGGTTGCGCCTCCAAAGCCTTTAGCGGCTGGACTCGCGTGCGTTTCTGGCGGTGCCGATCCGATCCGACCCTCTGCCATCTCCAGTGTCAGTGGCGTCGAGGTTTCTGGCCAGCCGCATGTTCAGCTCTCAGGTAGCCGTCAGGGTGAGTTTCTGACCAGAATGAAAAATGCGTACCTCCGCTTCTTTGCTCCCTTTATGCCTCACCACTGACAAAGCTTCTGATCTGCAGCGCACTTCTAGAACGTGGCGTTTCTTCAAGGGTTAATTCATCAGGTTCTATTGGTGTATATATGTATATGTATGTGTTCAATTATATGTACATGTATACGTATATGTAATTATATATATGTATATATATATATATATATGTATATATATGTTATATCGGTGCACGAATGTATGTATGTGTGTTTGTTTATGTATCCGATTATGTATACGTATAGGTCTGTGTAGTTGTACGTACACTCACACATATATATGTGTCAGCATGTGCAAGTATATGCACACGCACATGTATGCGTGTTTATGTTTATACATACATGTGCACGTGCATGCATGTATATATGTATGTTTATTTTTTATGTAGGTATGTATGTACGTATGTCTGTAGGTATGTAGGTAGGTATGTAGGTCGGTTTGTAGTAGTTATGTATGCATGTATGTATGCATGCATGCATGCATGCATGCGTGTATGTATGTATGTATGTATGTATGTATGTTTGTATGCATGTAGGCATATATATATGTATATCAGTGTGTAGATGTTTGTGTATGTATGTATGTATGCATGCATGCATGCATGTATGTATGTATGTATGTGTATACATGATTTTGTAGACAAACGTATGCAAGACTGCATTGGCGCTTCGCGCTATGCGCTTTGTTCCAGATGCTTCCCTCGCACAGCAATGAATGTTCGCTTGCTTCAGCAGGTGGGACCTCGAGGCCTGGACGGGCGATCGGCTCCAATTTTCTGGTGTCCCTGGTGCCTGCTGACACCGCGTTCGCCCGATGCGCTTGCACGCTTGCGCGCAGGAGTTGGGAAGGAATGCGGATTTCTTGACGCGCGAAAGAACTAGCAAACTACGAAGCATCAACATGTTGTGATGGCACCTGTTCATGAACGGGGAACGGGACGGGAGCAGGGATAAGGGGGGGGGGGCTGAAGAGGCGAGGGGGGGGGAGAAACGGGGAGAAGGTCCAGAGGAAGGAGCGGGCGAATGAGGGTGGCCATCGGATGCCACGAACGTGGAGGTCGACGAAGAAGGCAAAGGGGGGAAGTCGTGTTCTTGGTTGGAAGATGAGGGAGGGAACTCGTCTTGGGATCCCGGGACATCGAGATTGCTTTCGATTGCATGAGCCACGATCCAATTTCACAGGCTCTTGCCAGTCGTGGGGCTCGCCCAACCGTCGTAGCAACAGTGCTGCGTGAGATGTCTGGCATGCGTGGTACGTTATCATTTTCAGGTGTGGAAGCATTAGAGGAGTTTGACATGCAACGAGGCGGCAAACAAGGAGGGGTAGAGACTCCAGAGGTTTTCAACACCGTTTTGGAATGGGCATTGGAACCGCTGGCCCGCAGCTGGCGGGATCGGGACATGGGTTTCGGCTTCGATGACAACAGTCCGCCTTTGACGCACTTGCTTTGGGCTGACAATATTTGGATCATTGCTGGCAGCATGGAGGAGTTCCTTTGCATGACGCGCGAGCTCTTGGATACGATCCTCTCAATCGGCTTCCGGTGGAAAGACGTGTCCTTCGAGTGCATGCCGTGTGGGAGTCTACGTGATTGCAGCTCCGGTGCGCTCGAAGGCTACACGGTGGTTGACCACGTGATGATTTTGGGCACCTATTTGCACAACGACGGTAAAACCATGGCGAGCCTGCAGCATAGATTGGAATGCGCAGAAAATGCGGTTGGACATATGCAAAGTCATTCAAAGGGAAGGGCTCCATCGCGACCAAATTGCAGGCGTGGTTTGCAGGCCCTGCAGCTTCAGCTGTTTACGTCTCCTGCTCGTGGCATCTTGGCAAACATGTCTTGGCGCGGGCAAGGCGGTGGGAAAACAACTTCTTGAGGAAAACCTTCAATTTGAAGCGTGGGCCGTATGAAGGTCAATCGCAGTACATGCTACGCACATCTCGACGGATACATCGGTTCTTTAAGATCGCGGGCGCGAGCTATTTGCATTTGCGATTGTTGCGGGAGGTCTTCAAGCATGCGTGGAGAGAACGCGAACTGCGTAGCAGACACCTTCCGAACTACTTGGCACTTGCCCGCGCGTTCCGGACACGACAGTGGTGGGTGACAGCACAGGCGACGCAGTCACGTTACAAACGCCGCCGGGATGGGCGCGGGCACGCTGGGATGGGGCACCGGACCGGATGGGAAAACATTTTTGGAGACAAATGCGAGAGAGGTGCACGACGCTCACTGAATGGATGCGGCTTTACCCCGACTTCGAAAAACGGATTTGCGCCCATTGGGAGCTGTACAAGCCGAGAGAGCAGGAGGAGGAGGACGACGACGACGACGAAGAGCCAATGAGGCCACCATTTGCGCAGCGACCCCGGACGATTCGCCACGGCCTCGACGACTTGCCCGCTTCACATGGCGAAGCGCCCCAGTGATGCGGTGGGCCGGACCATATCGGCACTTCTGCTTCATCACAGACTGCCAGCCCTTGGCGGATGTTGTCAACGGGGACGCGATTCTGCTCAATCGGGACGATTCTGCTCAATCCAGAACTTTTGCCGCTCTTTACCCGTGTCTCCGATAAGCTCTTAAATTTGGTGGAGAATGGATGGATGACGAGCCGGCCGGAAACGCACCCAGTGCAGTGGCGCCGGCGCTGTTTCAACAAAATAGCAGACCATATTGCGAATCACGCCATGGATGTCCAGCTTTCTTGGTGTCAGAAGTTTGTGCCTCCTGTGGATGGCATGCCCGTGCAGAGGGCGAATTATCTGATGCGCACTGATGGCGGAACCCGGGCAAAACGGTGTTCAGCAGCTGCTTGGTACGTCGAAGCCCACGTCAAATTACCGAACGAGACAGTGTCGTGTGCAATCTGCATGGCAGGAACCTTTCTTAACGATCCAGTTTCATCCTTTACCGCAGAGGCCGTCGCACTTGAGCAAGCCGTGGATTTTATCTGGGTCTTTTTGAAAACATGAGCATCGACATGTGAGTTCTCTTGGAACCATACAACGACGATATCAGGCTAGTGCTGTCGCGCTTCGCGCCTTCGGAAAGAAACAAATAAAGGGGGAAGGGAACGAGAGAGAGAGAGAGAGAGAAAGAGAGAGAGAGAGAGAGAGATATGGAGAGAAGAGAGAGAGAGAGAGAGAGAGAGAGAGAGAGAGAGAGAGAGAGAAAAAGAGAAAGAGAGAGAGAGAGAGAGAGAGAGAGAGAGAGAAAAAGAGAGAGAGAGAGAAACATATGGAGGGTGATAGTGGTACGCAGAAGACAGGCGGGCTGGCGTGAGCGCAGCGAGCGCATGGAAAACGCCGTTTGGGCGTTTTTGTTTTTTTGGGGGGCCGTCCTGGGGCCATTTTGGGCTGTTCTGGTGCCTTCTTGGGCCGTCTTGGGGAGTTGGGGCCCTCCAGAGGTCTTCTGAAACCATTTAGGGCCTTCTCGGGGGCCTCCAGTAGCCTTCTTTGAGGTCTCCCGTGGCTTTCGTGGGTCTCTCTTGGGAGCCTTCTGGGGGCATCTTTGGCTTCTTGTGGGCGGTCTCGGAGCTCTCTGGGGCAGTCTTGGGGCCCTGTTGGGCCGTCTTCAAGCCTTCCGGGGGGCCTCTTGGGCCGTCTTGGGGCGATATCGGGGGCCCATCGGGCCGTTTCGGACGCTGCGAACGCCCAAAATGCGGAGATGCTAGAAATATGTATTTTTTGGGGGGTGATGAGGCGTTTTTTGTTTCTTTGGGGCTCTCTTAAGGGGCGTTTTGGGGGCCTCGTGGGCCGTCTTCGGACCATCGAGGTTCCTTTTGGAGCGCTCTTGTGCTGTCTTGGGTCTCCCTTGCGCCTCTCCGATGACCCCTCTGATCACTTCGAGTCTGCTCGCAAGGCCTGGCAAGGCGCCTTGGGAGGCCCAGAATGGCCAGCGGACCTTTTCCAAGGGTGTCCTGGGGGCCGCCGCGACTTCCGAAAGGGCGTCAGGGCGTCAGGGGCGTCCCGGGGGGGGGGGGTCCGGTTTTGGGTGGGGGTGGTGGGGGTGTTGGTGTGGGAGAGTTTCCGGGTGATGCAAACAGAAGAATAGGAATAAGTTTTTGCATTTGTATTTGTATGGGTTCTTGTATGTTATATGTATATCGTAATGTAATTGCATGGGTGTGTGTATATGTATATGTATATGTCTATGTCTATGTCTATGGCCATGTCTATGCATATGTATAGGTATATGTATATGTATATGTATAGGTATATGTATATGTATATGTATATGTATATGTCTATGTCTATGGCCATGTCTATGCATATGTATAGGTATATGTATATGTATATGTATATGTATAGGTATATGTATATGTATATGTATATG